TGTGGGCTCAGGCAATCCTCTCACCTCAGCCTCCCAAAGTGCTGGGATTATAGGCATGAGCCACTGTGCCCGGCCTACCCACATCTTTAAAATTAAAAAAATAAAATAAAAAGAATTCACCAATGAAATTATCTGGGCCTGGACTTGTCTTTGTCGGAAGATTTTTAACTCATTAATTCAATTTTTAAAAATTTAATATAGGTCTATTAAGATTTTCTGCTTTTTCTTGGGTCAGTTTTGGTAATTTGTCTCATTCTAGAAATTTGTCTATTTCATCCAAATTGTCAAATTTTTTAGCATGAAGTTGTTCATAGTATTCCTTTCTAATCCTCTTAATTTCAATACAGTCATAGTAAATATTTAGTTATAAACTGATCACATTATGATTAGGCTGAATCCGGAGACTGGAAAGATACTGTTTTGTTTTATTTTTGTATAAGGATATTTAAAATTACGCTTTAACATTAAAACATGTATTTTTTTAAATCACTTATATAAGTTTAGCTTAAGATATGCTAAAGATATATGTGAAAACATTCATTTTTAGAATATATGTATGTGTCTATGTGTATTTATATCCTTCTTTGGAACACTTTTAAAAAGAGATAACAACAGACAACCTAAATCTTCAATTTTTTCATGTTAGCAGAGATTTCCCTATATATTAGAGAAAACAGTCTATCCTCTAGAAGTTAGTACACAAAGAGATGTTCAACAGTAATTTGCATTTCTAAAAGTATATACTTATTAACAAAATAATACATATTAACACAGTCTATGATCCCACAGATATAAAGGTCAAAAACAGGGAAAAGTAATATACGATAAATAGAAGCCAGAGGACAAAGAAGAAATTTGGGGAAAGAGGACACTGACTAGCAGGGGGCATGAGGGAATCTTCTGGTGGTACTGGTGATTACATGGATATATATATATGTAATCCACGTATAGATTTGGGTACTCTACTGTGTTAAGTTATACATTAAGAAACAAAAGGCATTTGGCAAGAAAAAGGAATAAATACTGATACATATTACAACATGTATAAACCTTGAAAACATTATGACAAGTAAAAGAAGTCAGTCCAAAAAAACATATATCATATGATTCTTTTTATGTATAATGTCCAGAATAGGCAAATCAATAGTTACCTTGGGTTAGCAGGGTTGGGGGAAATAAGAGTAACTACTAATTTGTATAGGGTTTTTCTTTAGGGTGATGAAAATGAACATACTAAAAACCACTTAATTTTATACACTTTAAATGGACATGTGAATTATAATGGCATGTAAATAAAGCTCAGATATATATGAAGCAAACAGGATAAAAGGCCAGCCCTACTGTATTTCTGAAAATTAATATCAATGGTGTGGAGTCAGTTATTAAATATTCAGCAATTTTGTAGGCTAGCTATTTAACC